ATAACTCTTTCAAGGTTAACTCCGTGTTAGAACCCTTCTCTTCAATGTAATCTAAAACTACCTTTACATCCCAAGTTTGTTTGTACCGGGGCAATGCTGGTCTGCAGTTAAACACACCTCTCAGAAATCTCTTGACTAGCACATGCTGACCTATAGGTACACCATTTGGTAAACACAATACACTTGAGAGGGCACTTCTTGCTGTATTAATCACACTATATCCACATCCCTTCTCATACAGCGATGTCAGGAATTCTATCACTAGCACAGGATCTGGCTCAAGAGGATTTTTATCTGAATCACTGCAGTATTTTTCCCATTGAGAAAGGTAAGTCCTGTACTGGGTGCGAGTGCCTGTCCGCCAAGAATTCATAATGATGGAAATGGAGCTTGAGGAGAGCCCAATGGAGTGGAGGCTCTCCCCGACAAATGGCACACTAGGAGTTCCATTTTCTTGTACAGAGGGTGTACAAATTCTGGCTTGTGCAGCAGTACAAGTGTTTTCTTTCCTTTGGGTAGTGCCCTTGGGCTGGACACACACATTTTCATAGCAACTGGATACCAGCTCTGAGTTGGCCAGTTCGGTAGAATCACTAGTCCTTCTGCTTTGTCTTCCCGTATCTTCTGGATAACCTGTTCCAGCACACTGAAGGGAGTGAAAGCATAAAATTGATATAGTGACCAATCCCACATAAATGCGTCAATGACAAAGGCAAATGGGTCTGGTCTCCAAGCAATGTAACATGGCACTTGTGCATTTAGCCGTGAAGCAAAGAGGTCTATGCATGGCACAAAAAAAGACTTTTGTTATTTTATCAAATAGTTCCTTGCAGAGCATCCACTCAGTTGCCTCATTAAAGTTTCTACTTTCCTTATCTGCCTCTATATTCTTGCACCCAGGCAAATGAGCAGCTGAGAGCCAAATGTTATTGTCAATTGCAAATAACCAAATAATCTTGGCCATACTGTGACAAGCTTGGGATTTTGTGCCTCCTAGATGATTTATATATGCCACAGCAGTTGAGTTATCAATTCTAACACGCACATGGTGGTTCCTCAAAACCGATGCAAAACACCTCAGCCCAAAAAACACTGCTCTTAGTTCTAGGTAATTAATGTGATTTGACAAATTGAAGTCATCTGCTGACCATGCTCCGCCAGTTTTAACATTTCCTTCATACAACACTGCACCCCATCCCTTTGAAGAAGCATCAGTAGTTAACACTTGTGTCGGCAATCCTCTAGAAATAGGAGCTGAGTTGTCAACTATATTGTCAAACCACCATTGAAGGTCCTGTTTACATGTGTCAGTGATTTGTATGACTGCATCAAAATCACCTCTAGCTGACTTTAGGGCAAGACTCTTCTCAATTTCAAGTTGCTTTGTAAACAGTAATCCATATGGAATTGCGATGGCATAGGAGATCATAATACCAATGAGTTCAGCCACTTCACGTATGGAAACAGTCTGTTTTGACATAAGCTTTGAGTATTTCTGTCGAAAGTTCTCTACCTTCTTATCCGTGAGAGAGACTGTCATTGTAGAAGAATTAAGCACAAACCCCAAAAACACAATTGTTTGACAGGGCACGAGAACAGATTTTGCACTGTTTATGACAAAACCTAATTTCTCAAACATTTCCTTAGTCACATTGATATTTGTCTGGCAATCTGATTTTGACTGGCCTTGAAGATAGGAGTCATCAATGTAAGCAACTGATACAAATCCCCTTTTCCTAAGCAAACTGTACACAGGTTTCAACAATTTAGTAAAAACTCGAGGTGCAGAGGTCAAAACCAAACGGCATACAGGTGTATTGATAAAGCGCCCCTTTCCACATGAATCTCAAAAACACCTATCTTGTACAGCAATGTTAACAGAATAATAGGCTTCTCGTAAAAATCAATGGACGCCATATAGCAATTTGGGGTCATAAGTCTGAGAGCTGATAGTAACCGTTCCATCTTGAAATGGCATTTTTCAACAGATTGATTCAGTAATTTCAAGTTTAGAATAACTCGAAAGGAAGCATCCGGCTTTGGAACGAGAAACACAGTGCTTATGTACTGATGATCTGAGGGGGTGGTCTCTTCAATTACACCCTTATACAACATTTTAGTCACTTCCTCATCAAGAAAATCTGCTTGTTTGCCCCCAAGCTTAGTCTCCCTGAAAGAGGACTGAATGGGTATGTCTGTGAATTCAATACGATATCCTCTGACAGTGTCTAAAATGTAGGGATCAGATGTTATGTTTTCCCATTCATTAACATACAATGCTAATCTGCCTGCAATACAAGTAGCTTTAGCTGCTAAGGACTCACTCACTTCAACTAATGTTGGATTTGTCCGCTTCGCTCTGGGAAACCTGCTTGTCCCTGAGTGTCGTCTGAAGTGAGGTCCCTCGTTTTCTAAAAAAACTTGACCGCGGCCTCTTCCTCGACCTCTAAAACGTGGGGAGCCCCTACTTCCTCTGGATCTCAAGGGGGGTCTCCCCTCAAATCTGTTGTAGGGATGGAAATGAAACTGATTGCTTGATTGTTTCATCTTAGACACCATCTTGTTGGTGTCAGTCAGCTCCTTAATCTGTTCGGACACATTGTCCCCAAACAACAGCTCTGTGATTGGATTTTTGTGAGCGCACAATTCCTTGAACTCGCTTGCAAGATCACCTCTTATATCATCACGCCTCCTTAAGCTGAGGTCAAAGTTGGCTGATGCAATGAGGGCTATGCCATCAACCATTTCAGTGATGAGAGAGGAGGTGTCAAACGTATCCACATTGCATAACTTATTCACAGCTTTGACGATTGGTATCAATCCTGTACAAATTGAATCTTGCGTTTTCTTAGATCTCAGGTCTCGATTCCTACTCGGCAAATCCATGACCCTCCAAACTTCGGTATTTACACGAGGCGGTTTTAATTTTGGGCAGTTTTCTGGAGGAAAATGCTTACTTAACAAGTCAGTTTTCTGTTTTTCCTCAAGTTTGGTGGCAAGTAACCCGTCAATCAGTTCGGCAAGTTCTGAATCAATATGAGGCCCCACTTTGTCCTTCACTTTGAAGGAACTTGCCAGCTTAGAAATGTCAAATTTCATTTCACTGGCCGCCGCCATGTTTGAACCAAGAGGGATAACTCTGTCAGTTTCTGCCTGCTGCTCGTAAGCAGCCTGTTGAGCGTGGCTCGGTCCCGCGACGGGCTCCCCGCCTCCCCTCTAATGAGCTAACAGTGGCACTGTTAGTGTTAGTGTCTATATACACTGATCAGAATCTTGATCGTAGAAGACATAACTTTCTAGTTCTGTCACTTTATCCAAAACTTTGTTTATCACCGCCATTTGGTTTTCTTCCATTTCTTCAGCGCTTTAGTTAAAAAGTCTTCACTTTTGTCATGGTCTCCACTCATGGAACCAGAATGATCAGTGCCCCTGCGGGGTCACATTGTCACTAGCGCTTTCATTGTCTGATATCGGCGTAGTTTCCTCTGAAACTAAAAACGAAATCCGAGGGAAAACACAAATAAATCCAAAAGTTCACTGGTCCGAAAAGTCTGCGACTGCCACCCGTTGACACAATTGCACTGACCCGTTTGCGCATGCGCAATCTTCATGTGGTCTCTCATGTGACCTGGTACTTGAAGGAGAACTGCGATGGATAAGCGAGACAAGTGGGGAATCTATAATCACCATATATGATACATGTATAACAACAGATGCATTTACTCTCCCATAGCTGATTAACGACAATGGACACGCGGGTCATGTGGAAAGTTTACATTCATCATACATGATATAACGAAAGGTCTAATACTTACATAGCAAACTGTATATAACCACCAGGAACAAATGAGACAAAGGGAAGGTTTGTATTTACCATATATAATACAGTTAAAGGATCCTACGATCAAAGCATGTTTACCTGTCCCATTGTCACGCGGAAACAATAAGGGGCGACCAAGAACGATCCTAGTACCTTCAGTAGACCAAACGTCAACGTTATGACTCACATCTATACATTTAAAAAAAGCCAAATGACTCTAAATCTATGAAATCACTATAGTCTATTAGACATAGTTAATCGCTGAATCGACTTAACTTTTAAAGTAACTTTTGTAAGCAGCTTTCAAAGGTGTCGTCGAACATAAATGTGTGCTAACACAAATATGTATATAGCCATAACCCAGTCATTAAAGCGTCACGACGAAGGTCCGAGGTCGATTCCCAAGCCAGGTTCAATGTGCCAAGGCCACTTCTCGGAATCGCTCAGCGCTGTTAATCTGTTTGTTTACCTATGTCCTTTATCAACAAATATTGATACACAAATCACTGTTGCAAAAATGACCCATAATGTTTCATGAATGAAGATGGATGTTTTTAGGACTTCAGTCCTGCCCAACAACGAAGCACGTGTGCTATATGTGGTCTGACCTTAGGCAAGTGTGATTGTTCAAAATTCCCCCTGTTCACCCAGCAGAAATGAGTACCCGGAAGGATAAGTCATGTGACTATTAACGCCTAGCGCCTCACAGGCCGTTAGGGTTTTCCGTGGGAAAAATAATCAGATTGTGTGTTAGCGCTTTGAGCATGCGCCTTGTACACGGAAAAGGCCCATTATAAATCCACAATCATTATTATATTGTACACTGTTCATGTCCACATCGTCTTGAACCCTTTTGACTCCAGCGATTCGTATCCGAGGAGTGATCAGTTCCTGTGGAGTGTTATAGAATAAAGAAAAATCATTTACAAAAAAATCTTCTGTTGGTTCATCCATTATTACTGGTTCAGTTTGTAGGTGATCAGTGATATCACGGGTTGAGTCAATCCATTATTGAGCGAGACGTTGACTTGCATTTGAGATCCTTTGTATGACATGTAGTAGCCAGTGAGTTAAGGCCATTGAACATTATTCTTCAGAGTGGCACAAGGCACGTTCTGGTGATGTAGCTTTCTGAATCGAATGATATATGTACATGCATGTAATGTTCTGATATAATATGTTATAGCACTGAATGTTTATTGATATGTACATTGGTATTCGGTTTGCACCCAATGTTTATTTCCAAGTGGCCAGATGTCCAGCTTCTATATAAGCCTGAAGTATTCATGTCCCGTTTAGGCTATCTCACATTCAACAGGCCTGGATGGGGGAACATGGAGGCGTTTCCGGGCAGGCAAAATCCTGAACCGGTGACCGATCGGTTTCTGTAAGAAATAAAGCATATATTTATACCAACAGATATATAGGTCTGATGGGCCATGAAGGATTATCTGGGCGGATTGTGTTAATGGTAGAGGTAGGCAGTATTTCACACATTCCTGTAAATGATCTGAACCCGTTCATCCAATGTTTTAAGCACGTACAACGTACATCGTCAGGACACGACGACATTCGATCAAAGAAGTCATCATATTGTCTCTCGCTTCTATGCACTATAGTAAGGGTAATAATGGGGTTAATATCTTCAGTATTTACAGATTATATTATATTATTAGTTCTCGAACAGGTTTGTACTGATTCGAGTGTCGGATTCTTTGTCAAAAGTAATTTAAAGTTCTTTAAAATCATTGCACAATCATGAAGTATCCCATCACTACTCGCACTTTAAAACGTACTAGGTAAAATAAGAGTGACTGGAGCAAGAGGTATTTGAGAAACTCAGTCTCAATCTATCAGTGGGAAGTGTGCCATAATCACACAGCTTATAATTTCCTAATTAACAAATCGGGAATTCAGTAGTTCATTTCTTTATGAAAACGGTTGGTTCGAAAGGAAGTCCAATGTATTTTGGTATCCTTCGGGAAATGGAATTAACCTGACCCTCGTTAAAAACACAGTATGTAACCCGGTTTTATAATAACCTCAATAAATTCCAAAACCTCTCTTGACGAGAAAGCACCATACGGACGACCGCCACAGTCAGTCCTGGGTGACCAGTTCTCCTCACAGACCACGTGTTTTACACGTGCAGGAAGTGTTTTGTGCTGTGACATGTGTTTGTGGAAGGTATTAGCGACCATCACCCGCGAGCACAGCTTGTGCTTCCTGAAAGCAACAGAACACACAACACATCTGTTTGAAGGATTTAAATATACAGTACTTATTGTGAAATTCATTGTAACCTTCGGACATTCATTGTAACCTTCCGACATAGGTGGATCTGCGTCAATAATTAAATGCAATAATAAGCAATAATACTACAATTGTCAACGACAATAGTGAACATATTGGACTTAGAATGTTGAGACATTAGAAGGATCCCTTCATACGACTTTCATACACTGACATCAAGACTCTATGAAGCTACAGAGTATATGCCCAACGTAGGATATTCACCATGACAATGCATGCAAACGGGATATCCCGTAATGTCATTCCTAAACGCTATGACCGAAATAGTCTCTCCCGTCATGCTTAACCGGAACCTTCTCAATGGTGAGTTATATCATAAGGCTAGTGATATGCTTGACCAACAGTTACAACTGTCAATATATTTGCAACTGTAACATCTTCTTTAGACAATGGCGTAATTACCATTTAGACAAAAAGACAGTTCCATACAGATAACATGGCAAGAGGCAGTGATCGCTTTACTTGCAAGCGAAACTATTCTTTGCCTGAGACATCACATTTGTTTACGGTCTATCTGCCCTGTCTTTATCATACTAAAAAGCAGTAAGATGTACCACACAGACAAAACGAAAAATAAAAATATATTGGCTAAAGGCAACTGCTTTTAATGCGGACATAGACCTCATGCCGCAGTGATTGTAAAATCAGATATAGAAGCAACTTCTAGCTCTGAAGAACCCTACCTTTGTGCAAGGACTCGAGAAGCTTCCCCATTGACAAACTCGGAGTATCGGCATCTTTGACCAAGCCTTTGATACAGATAACAATTATCCCCAATAACTTGTGTGGAGCCCCATTACCAATTCTGACTTGAGCTGCGACTCATGGATGCATGCTTGTAAACACAGACAGTAGTACCTGACCCTTCAGGTGTCTTTGCATATAAAATACCCTGTTTTCATCCTTTGACTTAAGCCTGCCGAAAACTAGTAATAAAACGATAAAGTTCAAATACTACCGTAAACACATGTGCAATTGCGGTAGTAATTAAGACTCCCAGACTTATTTTTCATAGAAAATTGATACATCTGTGGTGTGTTTGAAGAATATGACTACTGTCTATATCCATTCCTAAAAACCTTAGTATCATTGTGTCTCTCACCTGACAGTCTTGCATAGGTCTGGCGATGAAGAAACAAGCAGTGTGCAGCCCGACCTCTCCAGGCGTGAAGCCACCTCTATCATCAGAGTAGTGGAACCTGTGCCCGACTCAGCTCCCACGATCACCACATTCTTATCGATATTTTCTGACAGCGCAACAAACTGTTCCTGGGTCAGGAACCACGTCTGGGTCACACCAGTGTTACTTTTGTCAGAACGCAGTATCTGGACCACCTTAGTAGAGGATGCCACGGCAGCAAACGCCTTGGTAATACTGGCGTATTTCACATCCGACATTGACAGAGACTCTGGGATACAGAAACAAGACGATTCTTTATCAATGCTCACAAAGGCTTTACTGAACTTTTCTGATGATGACATATCATCAGCTGTGAGAACGCCATGTAAAGCATTAAAGTTTTCATCTGTGAACTTACGCACAGCTTTGATTAGAGCTTTGGCGACATAAAGGTTGTATTTGGAGATGGCGTTTGTTTTCTTGGCATCTCCTTTAACGACAGTCAACACCATCGGAGCGCCATGGGTCAGGATAACGCATGCGTCAAACATGACCTCATGAGGCTGTTTCATTCGAACATCGAGGTCAAGCGACACCCCGAGTGAAAGAGCCAGGTAAACCAATCCTGCCTTCCAGAGGGAAACGTCTCTGCTATTCTGTCCTCTAAATTAGTCTGAACTTTGGACAGCTCTGCCATGTACGGAGGGTAAACATGCATCCGAGGCTTATCTGAAATTAGAGATAATATAATTTGGTTAACAATTGCATATTCTTGAAACCGATCATTTCAAATAAACATGGTAAGTACATACAAAACCAAATTGAAACGTTTTTGTCGGAGGTAGCCTGCTAATAATCCTTTGGCTGTGACTACGTAATTTGGGATTGTAACAGAAGTATTCTCGCCTTGATATACCTACCTTTTGTAAGCAGGCCATGGATGTCATTTAGAGCGTTGTCCAGTTGCTTCACTGGTCTAGTGAATACGTCACCACTTGGAAGCTTGACCACGTTGACGACGCGCCTCTTCAGTTTTACTTCATTTATATGCAAAATATACGCAGTCATTAAAAACGCCTTCTATGGGTATATTCGAATTCTGGTCTATAGTGTGACGCATTTTGGATAATGCAATATCTGCCCACTGGGTAAATGTCCACTTATATGGACACTACAACAACGGATTAGATTTATTATTGTCTTACATTTTACAAGAAGGTTTAGTTTATCATGATGTTATCATGCCATTAATTAAATTAGAATTGGAAGAAAACCATTACTTTATCAAAAAGGTGATAACTGACCTTTCAAAGAAATTATTCCTTTATGGCGGCGTCTTGGTTTTGAAATGTATCCGTTCTGGACGTTCATTGCCTGGAAGATAAATCCATCCTCACATTGAAAACAGTATGGTTATATCTATTCTAGGTGATAAACAGAATCTGCTAATAAGGTGATTATATCTCTACCAAAATGAAACAACATGTAGGGTTGCAAAGCAATAGTATTCCAAGTTGTATGGGAATATATTTTGGGCAGACAACACCATGGAAAGATAACACAATTAAATGCGACATCGTAGTTAAAGTTTAGACGACAACGTAGCCAATACTGCCATTGTCTCCGGACCCTTCTTGTTTATACCACATTTATATACCATATTTTGTGTCACAGGTGACCTTGGCTATGTTGGTACTAAGATTTGTGACAGACAGAGGTGGATATGGTCATTTAAATCTCACAGAAATCGATCATTTTCGAAATCCACACTGGAAGCTAGTTCTATGTCAAAGTCATTTAAGCAAGTACACGGGGTCTAAACAGACTGAGACTTGTAAATCGGTAAACCATGCCATCAACAATGGTGCGGGAGACGATGCTACCGCCACACAATACATAATTGTATGAATGATGTATAACGCACCACTGAGAAGCCCCTTACCTCTTGATGTTTCATTGCTTGTTATCGGAACTGCAGGAGTTAGCCTTGTGCAGTTAACCTTGTGATGTGAAAGTGTCAAACCATTCACAAAATGGAATGCGGGTTAATTCCTCTTCCTTGATCGCAAATGACCTTGGTCCCTGTGCGTCATAGAAGACTAACCCTCTACGGCACCTACGGCGACTTCGACAACGTACTTGTCGTCCTCCGTGCGATGATTTGAAATGTTAACGAGGTCACTTGCGTCAATATTTAATTTCTTCCCATCGTACGAACAACAAAAGATATCTGACTGTACCTTTCTTAACAGGTATTGTTTGAGTGCTTCTATTTTTGTTCCTGACAAATGTAAACCATGGTCAACGAGGCTGTACGGAAACATAACTTTTCCTTTCGTATGTACGCTTCTCTTCTGATATTCCAAAGAAATATGAGCCACCTTGGTCGAGTTTGGAAAATGAAGTGATGTATTGCCGAAGTCTTTGATCTTCCCAGATATACTTCCCAAGAGCAGGAATGTCTCTCAGTAGTGATTTCAGCTTCTTCTCCCCGTTCTTCTCCGCCTTGAAGGACTTGTGTTGTATGTTCCTGGATTCGTGTAACGATCGGTATTCCCTTTGTCCCCACGTACCCAAGGTGTCTTGTGTTTGAACTCTTTACGAGTGCTCAGTAATTCCTGGATATTACACGCTTGGGGTTCTCGATCTTGAAATCAAATGGGATCTTGGTCATAAAGTTAACAGTCGCCGCGCTTTGCTTCTTTGGCCTAACGGTTATACTGATGAAATCATAATATTTTCTTAATTCTTGCTTGACGTCCAGCCACTGTTTAGTGAAACAGTCAGCAAAGAGACTCCCGTCGTTGATGAGTTTAACCAGAAGGTCGTCAGTGAACTCATTCAGTTTTCCAGGATATCTGTCGCTGCTGCTCAGCCCGACCAGATGCACCAACAAAATCCCCGCCGGAATTTCGGAGCCCACAAACTCTTTCGAGGAACTGTTCCGAAAGGTTTTTCTTGTGCACACGTTGTTCCTTAGAGAGACCTTCTTGCGTCGTGTGAATGCCTTTGTACAACAATGACACTGGGATGTCTATACACAAAAATTGCTCTCTTGACTGCAAGTTTCTGCTTTTCTACGAGCGCCTTCACATAGCCGGCAGTACCTTGATGTCACGGACCCGGAGCATCTTGTAGTGGGTGGCGAAGGATTCGGCGACTCTCGTCTTGGCCGCTTAGGTGGTGGTTGTGCTATAACAGGCAACATATGGAAGAAAGTTATATCTCTTTCAGGTGGTAAGTAGGAAATCAGACTAGCTGGAACCAACTGTCCATTTGCAAAATGTACACATGAAATGCCAAATGTAAATCCAACCGAAATCAAGAATTCGTCATGAAATGGCAGGAAAGGTACTATTCTGTTTATACCAACTCGTCACCATAATTTCGGACACTGTTATGAAGTAGAAAAATAGTTATTTGGCACACGATCATGTAATTGTTGGTATTCTTATGGCTGTTGTAACAAAGGGGAATGTACCATAAACCATCTCTTTACCTGTATGAAGCTCTGATTTCGGTCTCAACTTTGTCAATGTACTTGGCACAAGTTTCTACATATACGCAGGCTACTCTTTTAAGGACCAGTTTCTCCACATCGAATAGTTTGAATGTTGTGTGATGATATTGACAAATATACAGCTTTCATTCCATTTAC